AGAACAGGTGTTTGGAGGATCTTTCCTACACCTGCTTCTGGTCTCTATTGTATTTTCCAGCTTCACCATGGAATCTAATGGCCTGCCTGTAGATCTTTGTGATTGCAAAATTAAAAAGAATTTGCGATTTTGCAGATTCTGAGTCAAAATATACAATATTCTTGAATCAGCTACAAAAAGCCATTGGTGAGGAGCCCGATAAAAAAAAAATGAAAGCAGTTCTTCGGCTGTTTCTTCTATTTACAGGGAAAAAAAACCCAGAACTTGGGGATGCAAGTGCTTCTTCATTTATCACTGGTTAAAAACCCACAAAATTGAAGTCCTCAGCTAGGTGTGTTTTGATATGAAGAAACTCTAGTTTCTTTATCCAACTTTTGAATACGTGTAAAAATATTGGTGTTTGGGAAGAAGTAATGTATCTTTTCACACTTAAAAAGATTATGTCTTCTGTGTGAAATTAAACAGGATATGAAAAGACTGTTTAAAAAATAAAAAAAATAATGTGCAAAGGCTATTTGCCAATATAAGTAAAAACTACCATCTGTCATCTTTAAATAAGAATAGAATTCCTCATTAATCAGTTTGATAATCAGTAGAATATTGAGATCAAGAATTACTCAGTTGGCATGGCTCCTGTAGTTCATATAAAGCATTAATATATCCCTTTGTAATAAAACATGCTTGATGTGATGGTTTCCAGTTGGCTCTTGCACTTATTTTATGAAGGGCTAACATATATCACAACTTCTGACACACAAATTTGGAATAAGGCGAAAATTGTAGAGACAGTAGATCAGAATCGAGGAGTCTGTGTCGCAAAAGAGCAGTAAAGTATCAGAAATCTGAATCAAGTGAGTATTTTACGGATATCTGTCATGGGCTGATAGGGAGCCTCTCTGACACTCCTGGACAAGTCACATCCCTGTCAGCTTCCATTGCAGCTCCCCCACAGGAGGACAGCATGGTCCATCCTGTGACTTACATGCAGAAGGGGAAAATAATACTGATTCTTGCAGCTTTCTCTGCAGGCAGAAAATGCTTCACACCTTCATGCAGTGGAAACCCATTTACATCAAGCTCCATAACTCTTTAGCCTAATGAAGGGAACGCATTCATGTAAATTCACTGAGGGGTACTATTTGGGCTTAAAATTTTGGTGGTGCGTTTGAGGTCACAAGATGTACCTACCATGACTGATAAAATGTCAATATATTGGGAAGTATAGCAATGCGTCCTGTATTAGGGGGCTTAATGAATTAGTCCTTTTCCCATTTTCAGGTTCTGCCTTCTCAGAGTAACAAATCAGACTTCCATATATAGAGATATTTCCATTGTGCCTCCACATGGATATAATGCTCATTTTATGTTTATCCTACTTATAGAATATAGACTAGCAAAACTGTGTTGTAAGTCTTCCAAGCTCTTCTACTCTTTTTTTTTTTTCCTCTTTCCTTATAACTTAATTGGTTATTCCAAATAGATTTCACGGGTCATCTGGATGAAAAAGTAAATATTAAGCCCATGAATGAAAACGGTATATAGATAAAAATAACCAGTGTGTGAATATGATAAAGTATCATTCTTTGCACAAGACCAGTTTTCTGAGATAGAGTCTGCATCTATTGATACTTTCCTTAGTTTTGCACTCTTTATTCTCATTGATTTTAGTAGCTATTCCTGACTGGAAATGAGAGAAGATCATTAGTCTATTTTTGTGCTGAGAGAAGCTAATTTTATACATGATTCTAAATTTTTGTGTTTCACTGAAAAGCAAATATAAGACAGCACCCTGCTATTCTCACAGCATAGGCCCCCAGGCATACAGATTCATTCTTAACATTTCAACAGGCAGGATATCCATAAGGTAAGATATACGGGATAATAAGTACTGTTGAAACAGTTTCAACAGCAACGTCTAAAATAAAGAATTGGAGTTGAAATTTCTGTCAGAAGTTACAGATTTCAGTGACTGACTAATTGCTTATGTGGTATTTAACTCGCTCAAAAAATACACCTGCCTTTGAGAACAAGGAGGGTTGCAGGTAATTGGAGGAAAGCACAACTTTTCCTTTTGGACAGTCCAAAATACATTATAATGCATGAATATTTTTGTACAAAGTTTGTATTCCAATATTGGGAGGTGACCGTGTGTTTCTACATTCCATTAACTTTACTGTCTTAAGAACATACATGTCTAGCTTGATACACGTTGTTGATGGATCGGATTTGTTTTTGCTGTAACCGCTTGTAGAAGCCAGTGGAGTTACAATAAGGTTTAATTAAGTCCAGTATCTTAAAACAATTTTTTTTTGCACTTTGAAACGTGAGTCATCTGTTTGAAAAGTTGAATGATGCTACTGGTGATCTTGTACTGCTCTGGACCATTTTTACAGATAACAAGATTGTCTCTCATTTGCTGGTGGCTGAACCAGAGAAGATCTATGCTATGCCTGACCCCACTGTTCCAGACAGTGACATCAAAGCACTTACCACTCTTTGTGACCTGGCAGACAGAGAACTGGTGGTGATCATTGGATGGGCTAAGCATATTCCAGGTACATGCAGTATTTATTGCAAATAAATGACATACAGAAATCATCACATGGGTTATTCTGTTCTGGTAAAAAAATATGATTTGTTTTCTCACTGCAATGAGTAAAGTTTTCTTAAGGCTCCACATTATTCACGCAGGACATAGGTTAGATGGTAATATATCTTAGATTGGAAATAGCATTATTGTTGCGATGAGTGTTACTATGTTAATAAGTTTTACCTGCTGCTCACTGAATGATTTTTTTTTCGTGTATTACTTTTATTAAGATAAACTTACCTTGAAATCCAGAGCATTAGGCTGGTATGAAGAGTAGTGTAAGTCCTCTCCTCTGTACTCATCTGATTCAGTGGCATTTGAATTAAGTCTGATTCCTCTATTATGTAAATGCAGCATTATTTCATACTGACTACAGGAGGTGCAAAAATACAGTTATATTTTGGCATGGCACAGAGGAATTGTGCTTTTTACTGAATGAACTAGTGTGAGAGCTGAATTGTACCAGCGGCTCAGTAGAAAGAACTGAATTGTACTGAAAGGTCTCTTCTTACAGCTTAGTATTTCCTTGGTCTACATGAAATGGACTGCGGTCTACATCACGTAAATGTGTTCGTATTATAAAAGCTGACTGGCTTTCTTGTTAGCAAGAAAGGTGAGGGTCATCAAAAGCAGTTTCTCAGAAGATTAGTGATTTCTTCAGGTAACATTTCAAGTAGGCTTTATTTCCTCCCAGTGCTGAGATATTTGTGCTTGCTCTGTGGGCTAGCAGACAAACTTCTAGAGAGTCTCCAGGGTTCCCAGTCTGTCACCTTTCACAGATGGTAAAGTCACACAGAAAAGATCAGCTTTTTTTTCTTGTTTCTTAAGGTATTTTTCTAGTCCAGGAGGTAAGAGCATGTTGGTGCGTTTTCATCAGCTCGCTAGTTTTCTAATTTTGATGGTGGAGCCTTACTGAGAGTAAGACTGGATAACCTTTAATTCCTCTGAGTAATACATCATCCTTATTTTGGATGTGATTTTGGGATACCTTAATAGTAGAATAAATAATCCAATCAATTGTTTGTTTATAAAAGTTAAATATATTTCATTTCTACTATCAAAAGAAATTGCAAAGAAATAGAAAGAAAGAGTCTTCCTGGGTTTTTTTCCCTTGTGCTAACTAGCACAAGGCCTCGGTTCTTCTCGGTTCTTATCTTTGATAAATATAATCACTAACAAAGAATAATAAGAAAATAATTTGTACATTTATGGAGCGTTCTTTTACTTCAGATGAGAACCTACAGACTCTGAAATAGTCAGTAAGCGACACAGTTGAAATTTAGTCGTTCTCTGTGCCACAAATGGTGTATAAACAAGCTTTTGTATCACAAGCAATGTTTTTCTGGTACAGTTAACTTATTTCTGTCTCCTTAAACTAGTTTGTCTTTATGCTTTGAATGCTACAGTAATTTCTTTAATCAAATTGATGGAAGTCCCTTTCCCAGCCCACACTGAAACCAATTTATTGGTCATGATACGCCAGCTATGTTGCTAACAGTCGTAACGAACTGTCAGGCAATATCGCAGTGAAGCTAATTTGAAGTCATTAGGTGTGCAGCGTTCAGGCAACAATTTGTTACAGTGGTTAGGAACACAGCTGACATTTCTGAATGGCTTTGTTCAGAGCAGTTCTAGATGAGCCCAAGCAAATTGTAAACTAATTTAAACATCACTCTATATTATACTAGATACTTTGTCTTACACTGGTTGCTAATAAAGCACCCCGAATTAAGTCAAAATGAGTTAAATAGGTGAGTTTGAGTTTCATCTTTGGAAGATACTTAGATCACCTTAACCAAAACAGAGTAGCTCTCAAAGTCGTCAGTCATGCTCCATAGTAGTTGCAGGGGAACTTTTGTCAGTTTGATTTGTGAATATGCTGTGTAGCTTTGATTTGGCTGGAGGGGTAGGAAGAGCAGAGGGATGAGACTGAGCAGCCTTTAAAATGATGGCTTTGGTTAGCGTGGAAGAGGTATCGGATGCTGTAAACTGGCCCTGAAAATTTAAAGTCAGCAATCTGAACCAGTTGAGGAACATTTCTGCCATGAGGCAGGCTTTTATTTACAAGGTAAACTCAAAAACACCCTCGCCGTGGTAAAGAGCCACACTACCTAAATTTACTCACCTGACTCTGCTTAGGAATGACAAGGGGAAAACCAACAGGAAATAAAGGCAATCTTTTTACAAGCCTTCTGGTAGCAGAGGGCAGTGATAAAATCTGTGCTTGTTCTCTGGCATTTGATCACAAAAATCAAAATGCAGAAGGGCTTGACATGCTAAAGGGCAGATGTGATGAGCTTTTCTAGCTTGGTTTTGAATGATGGAGTACTGCCGAACTTGGACTGCCTACGCTCAGCTAATGTCTGGCACAAAACAACTTGTAGAAGAGCCCGGATTGGTGCTGTTTTCTAAGCTAACAAATGTTACTGTAGGCGGAACCATAACAAAATTGGAAAAAGGATGAGTTAGGAAAAGGGCGCAAATTGCGTAAAAGTTCACTGTAGCTTAGCGGACTAAGTAAATCCTTGGTGTAAATCTCTTGGAATCGATTAATTGTACCAGTAGTGAATTTGTGCCTAGCACAGCAAAGCAGCAATCAGCAAATCTTTCTTTGCTATAGTGATTTCTTAAGGTTCAGTGTAATTAAAGGCCCTTATATATCAGGTGCTTAATAACTAATAAAGATCTCGGCTGTAAAGCATTGTAATTCAAAATAAAATTTGTCTTTGTGGAAGAAACTAAAATAATGTTTTTGCTATTCTAACAGAAAGTCTTTTAACGAGTTTATCTATAAAAAGGTAACGATACGGTATGCATTCTGCCCTGGCCAACCATTTCCCTTTGCAGTCATAGACTAAAAAATCTTTTAAAATTATACCAAGTTCAAATGCTTTCATAAAATCATTAGTATTTTTGTGCTATTGGAAACATTTCAATAGTTACTTTTATTGAACAAAAAGTCTACGCCATCTACAAAAGGAAATATTGAAAGAAAAATATATATGGAAAGCCTTTATCAGTAAATAGAATTAGTCTCCTTGCATTTATAAATCAAATAAATGGAAAGTGTGTTGTTATGAAACATGACCATGTCTTATCTGAAGAAGAAAAAGATCACAATGGCATTAGGAAATGCTTGACTTTAGTTAGAGGAGCGTAAGGGCACAAGAACAGATGATGGTGCCCTAATAGCCCTTTTTAAGAATGACAGGGCCCCGCCATTAGCATCCTTTTATATCCTTGGAAATTGCTCATGCCTCGCTTTTCTGGTTCCTATCTGCCTGACTCTTTTTTATTTCTCTTTCAATTTCATCCGCGCTCGGATAAGCGCATGCTAACACAATATGATTGAGCTGTAAAATGGAACGCTGTCGCCTCTAATCTCTTTTATGTAGATATGGAGGTACTTCCACACTCCACTTCATTCTCTCTCCATTGTTGGTCTTTTTAGAATGTGTTGCCAAGTAATGGAGGCTCAGTCAAATATTAGAGCTAGGTTTCACAGGGTGTGATAAGAAGATTATCAGCCCAGCAGTCAGATCTATTGTTGTTCTTTGTGTCAGATTAAAATATTCCAATGTACTGTAACTTCGTTAGTAAAATACTGAAGGTGCTTAGGGAGAGGCTGATGCTGCTTCGTCTCCTGCCTGATGAGACAAAACGCCTATTAACTGACCTAAATAAATTGTAAATATATTTATGAAGCCTCTGCAAGAATGTTTTGTTTTGTTTTGTTTTATTTT